CCGAAGAGCTCCCAATCGACGGGATCCACCCACGCCAAGAGCGGTGCCATGTCGTCGTTGTCGCCCCATCCGAATCGTAGAAAGGCCGACTCGCCCACTAGCACCCGGACAAAGTACAGGTCGAAAATGCATTGCAACGCACAGGCTTGACCAAACGACACCGACGTCACGCGATCGCGATGCCGGGATAGAGCGTCCAAGGTATCACGAATGATTTCGAGAATCCACTGCTTGAGCTGGATTCGAACGTGGAACTTGACGCGGTCGTGGAGGGCACCGTACAGCGCCATCGACGTCGCTGTCATTTTCGCAGCCACGTCAAAGAGCAATGCGACACGTCGGGCGTCGCACACCAAGGGAGCCACACGAGCAGCGAGTCGGCTTTGCTCTCGTCATCGTCGTCGTCGGACGTGATGGCTGCGGGGGTTTGCGTCCACGTGGCATGGTAGACACGTCGCCACTCCTGCGCAAAGTTTCATCATATGCTCACACGTCCGTTCAAGGCACGGACAGTACCTCGTTCGAATAGCCAAAGTAGCGTGATGTCGAGAGCGCATCCAGCACGGGTTTTCCGTAACACTGGACGACATACGCCACCCATCGGTGACAAAATGTGTCGGCAAGCTGGCCAAACGCCGCGCCGGTGGCAGCGACTCCTGACCACACACGGGACCGGCACGACCTTGAGAAGTAGGGGATGCGTGGGGCTTACCTTGAACAGAGCCGAGATGGAGAAAGTGGATGTGGTGCGATGTCAAGCGTGTAGTGTCGCCCAGCCATTCAAATCGAGGCAGGGGAATGCCGAGCGTCTACATCGTGGTTAGATTCCCGGGTTGTTCAAGAGATGGAAGCAAGGGCACTGGCACCTCGAAAAGTTGTGGGCCACTTTGATTGGAATGAAATCCACTTTGAATACTTTGAATGGAACGGTGTCCTGTTTTTTGTACGGCTCCGGATGTTTCAAACGTTTTCTATTTTTTATTCTCCACTTTGATTGGAACAAAGTGACAACTTGATCGGGAAAAGGTGTACTAGTAGTGAATCAATCTCCTAACATAATACTTGGTAGATATATTGTAATCTTTGAAAATTCAGAAAGCAATAATAAAAATCTCAATATCGGAGAACAAGAAAATAGATTATTGTTTTTGACAGGCAATAATCGATATCGGTGAAAGTCATGCACTGTCAATTCGAACTGTCTATGACGGTTGACCAAGCTTTCTGTTTTTTATGCCTTGTCAAGAAATGCCTAATCTCTATATGTCTAGTCACTCCGAGATGCTCGCACAACCTTCATCATTTTCCAATTTGCCACCAACACAGCATCTTCGTCTTAAACCTGCTCTCGGGCGGGGGGCTGCCAAGGCCATCAACTACGCCATCCTACACCTCGGTTCCACTGTGGCAAAGTCCTTTCAGGGAATCGACCGAGGCAATGGGTTAACGGTGTTCTTGTTGATGGAGTACAAAGGTTATCCTTTGCCTTGGTAGACTAGACTTTAAGAAATATGTTTTGGCATTTGGATAAATCCAGTTTAGGTACTACGAAGCAAGTTTAATACAAAGTATTATTTGAAGTGTTCGCGCATACTCAAGTAGAGTTAATACATGCAATCAATTTTATTATCCATATACATAAGTGATCAATATCTAAGTACTTGTATTGGAAGTTTGGTCCAAAGTGTCTATGCCCCAGTAGGTACTGTTCGCATG